CATCCCATCTGGAGCAGCATGCAGCTGAAGCCAGGTTCCCATGAACTGCTGGGGATGGGAGGAGCTTGGCCAAGTCTGCATCGGTCAGCAGAAGCGGTGGCGGAGCCATGTGCTGCTCGGGACAGGACGAGCCCAGCCGGAGCGGCAGGGGCTGAGCGTGCTGCTCCAGATGGAACAGACCTGCCCGGGTCAGCACCAGCCAGCAGAGGTGGTGGTGGAGCCGTGTGCCGCTCGGGACTGACCAGCGCAGGTCAGGGGAAAGTGCAGCTGAGCCCCTGCTGCTCAGCTGGGCTCATCCTGTCCCGAGTGGCACACGGCTACTCCTCTTCCAACATGCACCGCGTCGGCAATGTCAAGCTGATGCAGTGGATGTGGAAACTTTGTCCCTTCCCCAGCCCTTTAGCAGCCATTAGGAAGCTGCTGAGGGGCTGGGGGAGGGACAAGGGGTGGGAACTTTCATTTCCTGTCTCAGCACCACGGACCACAGAAAATGCCTTGGCAGGCCGCATGGTGGCCCACGGGCCATATGTTGGACAAGCCTGCTCTAGTCTCTCCTCGTATGGCCTGCCCTGCTGCCCCCTATTCATGTGAGTGGCCCTCCTCTGGACCGTCTCAATGCTAGCCACATCTCTCTTGAAGCACAGCACCCAAAACTGGATGCAGTACTCCAACTGCAGCCTGACCAATGCCGCATATAGGGGAAGGATCACTTCCCTGGACCTGCTTGTGATGCATCTATGGATGCATGACAAGGTGCGGTTAGCCTTACTGACAGCTTCCTCACATTGGCGGCTCATATTCAACCTGGAGTCAGCAATGACTCCAAGATCCCTTTCTGCCTCTGTGCTGACAAGAAAGGCGTTCCCCAGCCTATAGGTATGCTGCTGGTTTCTTCTCCCCAGAGATATTCCCCTTTCTGTTTTAGCTTGAGATAAAAAGTGACTTGCTTTGCAATAAAAACACAGCGGCCGGAGTGTAGAGATATCCCAGGCCTCTCTTATGGCTTTTGGCATGATGCAGTTTCCCAACGTTTGAGTTTCCACGTCTGTAAAATGGTGAGAACTTCCCTTATTCAGAGACGGCACAAGACACTGTTAATAATTTTTATTAAGGTTTCATATGGTTAGATACATGCCCTAGCATGTAATAATTGCCTGGAGTATAATAATTCTGCTCATCATTGCTGTTCCTCCTTAGGCAGGCATCCAGCAGTCTGTGCTGTTTTTTCTTGCTGTATTCAGAGTTCTACCTCTTTCCTTTATTGGAATGCTGGAGATAAACAAAAAAGTGAGTTACTTTCTTTATTAAGTATAGTCTCAGGCCTAGTTATTTAAAAGGCATTGAGTTGGGTCACTGCACATTGCAGTAATGCAGGACTAATTCTTACAACTTGCGGAAATAATGTATGGCCCATTGCATTAATGTGTAGTTACATTCCACCTTCCACATATCAGTAGCCACAGACTGCATCCAAATGAAGGGGCCAGTACTGGATCCTGAGGTGATCCTAGACCAGGACTGTTCAGCTAGTGGCCCACAGGCCACATGTGGCCTCCAGTAAGGTTAACATGGGCCCTCAAGCACCCACCCATCCTCCCCTTCCTCTCTTGCTCTGGCTGCAGCAGCAGCCAGGGCCTCAGGGATCTCTCTCCCTCTTCTGTCTTCTGCTGCATGCCCCTACCTGAGCGGCAACAGCAGTCCAGAGTACCCATACAACACAGTGCCAGATGGGAGCCTGCAGGGAACTGAACGTGCAGTAGACAGCCACACTGTATGGGGGAACACTATCGCATGCACATGCATGGTGCAGTGCTATGGGGGTACCTGCCTGTGTACATAGTGCAAAAGGGAGGAAGAACCTACCTGCACTGTTATGCAGCCTGTGGGGCCCGTGACCCCCGATAGTGCTGCCCCCATGTTATATGGTCCCTGCTAGTGCAGCACGTGGGACATATGGCCCCAAAGGTCTTTGAAGCTGGGCAGCCTTGTCCTAGACCATTTAGGTAGATTATTATGTAGGCACATTCTTTTGATGACCATTGAGATGGAAAGATACCAGAAAAATAATGAAAAGATGAGTCTGATAATGCCAGTGAAGAGGAAACATGTCGTATTTGAAGTCTGACTTCTAAATAATACCATATTTACTCATGTCATGCATACCTTTTCCCCCCAAAATCAGCCCTCCAAAATTGGAATGGTGTTTTAAGCAGGGAGGCTGATTTTCTGCACTGGAATTGAAACATGTAATGGCTGCTGTATAATGGCTCCCTGTAAGGGCTGCCAATGGCTCCCTATAATGGCTGTGCTTCTCCCCCAGGTCAGGAGACAGCAGGTGCATCCTTTATGCTCATAGTTAGTTTTAACCCTATTACAGCTGCTGAGCAGTAGAACTGTAGTTCTAAAGCTCCAGTTAGACATTGAGTGATGCTGATGAGCGGGCTCTGCCCCTCCTCTCTAATGCCATGTTGAGCCCGTACTATAGCAGTTAAGATCCTGGAAAAAGCTTTTTTTATACTCACACTTCCTTCCCAAAAAAAGGTGCAAGTATTATGTGGGAACGTGTGATATACAGATAAATGTAGTGCTATGTTTTGGGGCTTTTTGACGCAAGAACTACCAGTGAGGTTTTATGGTACTTGTCAAGAAGCATCTTTGTTGAGTTCAGAAGTTCATGAATCATTGGAATTACTGGAGTTACTGGGAAAAAAGAATGGGGTGATGAATGAGAGGGCACAAAATGGCAACACAGTGGTATAATTTCACTGAAAAGTACCACATACAAATCGATCAATCAGATCAGTTTATAACAAAAAGCTGAATTATTATTGAGCAACCATATAAATGAATATGGCACAAACCAGAAATTTTAAATAAAAGAATACTAGCATCTAAGATTATGAAAGGAATAATTTAACTCCACATTTTTAGACAATACATCTGATTATCAGAGTGAAAACCCTCCATAAATACTTTACATATAAAAAGAAGTATGCAATGGCATTATGTTAGGTCAATCATAGCCCAAAATTAATTTGAATGAATTTAATCTATTTATTTCCAAGAAAAGTTTTTCTTTGTTTCCAAGGAAAGTATTTTTCCTCTTAGTGGAGATACGTTAAACACTTCTGACAAAACTAATATTGCAGCATCATTAGGAGTTATTCATAGATTGTAAGGGCTGGAAGGGACTTTGCAAGATCATCAGGTCCAGCCCCCATAAACAGCTCTCCGGGCGCACACATGCCTGGGATTCAGGTTCACAGTTTAAGAATCTGATATTGTACCCTTAGTGACATCTTAATAACCTAGCTAATTTTGTAGTTATGTGATGTCCCAGAGTCATAACTAGACTAAATACTTGTCTCTGGTAAAGGAGAAACAGTAGAGGAGTTAGAAACAAGATTTCTAGATTATATTCCCAGCTCTGATACTGACCAGCTGTGGGACTTCCGAGTTTCATTCCTCTGTGCATCTGTAAAAACACTAAAAAAAAATATTTGTCTTGGGGACATAATGAAAATGAATATTTGTTAAGCATCTGACATCAGGTGATACTGAAGGGCAAAATATTATGTTGCAATCTGAGCTTGAGGATAGTGATTACAAAAACATTTCAAAATTAAAGCAGTTACCAATTTTGGATAGTTTTGGTGTGTAAAGCTAATTAAGCTAACGTTAGAATCATGTAGCCTTGGTGTTTTGCATTCCTTCTGAATGATCCCTCACACTTTTTTTCTTGAGCCAGATATTTGGAAACAGTGTCATGGATGTTGCCGTTTCTAATGGAATGCTGATTGTGATGAATAGCATGGGCCTGGTCAAGCTTTATAGCTTCCAGGCTATCTCTGAGCAGGTAATGGAGCATGAAATGTAACACCAATTTATCTCAAGACAGATTATTATGAATGTAGTACAATATGTAAAAATTGGACTTCATAATGGAGGAAATGTGTCAAACAGGATAAAACCATTTCCATAACACCATTAGAGTATAAAGTAAGAGTGAGAGATCTTAACAAGGTACCACACAGATAGTACATACTAGGTACCACACAGATAGTACATACGAAGAGCAAGTGTTAGCTGAGCTCTGCATATCAGTAAAAATTGTAGTAGAAATGTTTCATTAGAAACTTGGATGGAAGATTCCTTGATATGAAACAGAATCTTACTAAATTTATTTTGGAAAATCAACTGTTGAACAGGAATTTAATTTAAATTCTTCCAGTTAAAAAAATTAAATCTGTTGGTAATTAAGACAGGATTTTAGTCTGAAATGAACTGTTTTAGTAATACACTAATAACAAAAGCAATAAAACTGAGCAGATAATAAACATGTATTGGTAAAGCTAATTTGTTTTTCATTATTTTAGTTCATGGAGCAGCACTTTGATTTGGGCAGTGAATTCAACTGGAATAATAGAGTTGGAATTGTAGGAAAGTATCCATTTGGTCTTCCTTGCAACATTAAAATAACAGGTATTTATTATCTTTTCACTATTTGATGGCTGGTTCACTGCTTGCAAAAACATGAGAAACACTCCACATTCCTTTGTGTTTGCCATTATGTTATAATAAAAATATGCCTCTATTTACTCTAAAACTTAAGAATTTACTAATAGGACTTTTCTTCTATTCTTCTTTTCTTCTAAGCTAAAACAGTGTTTTAACTTTTAAGTGTTAGGTGTTAAAGTGTTTGAGAAACTTTATAAGGTACGAGTAATCAGGAACCCCTTCACCCACCATTACAGGCAACCCTTGCCATTCGTGGGGGATATGTTCTCGTATCCCCCGTGAATGGCGAAATCTGCGAATAAGGCATTGCGTTCATGAATGCAGTGCCCCCAGTGGCAGGGGGGGCATGGCTCCAGCGGCAGCAGCAGCAGCCTGGCAGCAACAAGCACACACCTCCTGAGGTGCTCCTCTCCTGTAAGTGTATAAGTGTATTTAAAATGCAGGTTTGGCATTTACGAATATTTGAAACCGCAAATGCCAAACCTGCAAATAGTGAGGGTTTCCTGTACAGCCCCTTCTGGCAGGGAAAGGGGGAAAACCTGACAACTATTAAATAACAGAGAGAAACATTACATAATGACTTAGCCATGAGAGAGATTATTATCTAGTGTTAGACTAGTGTATCTAATATAACCTACAGAGAGAACTCAAGGAAACGGAATGTAACTTATTCACATCTTAACTTTGATTAGTCTTGCTATGTATAGTGTGTCAGATGCTTTGAACATAATTTAACAGGAAAAATGTTGGTTGGTTTTGTTTAGACACGCTGTTATAATTTTCAGATAAAAAGTGCTTCTTTTCACCAGTGCATCTGAGATTAGAATCTGGCCCTATGTTTCTTAAGGTTTGTCCCAAGTCAAGGACTTCCCCATTTCAGCATGTGCATTTTTTTCCTTATTAAAAAAACCCAGGAGCTTCTTCAATCCATATTTAGGCACCTAGATAAGTAGTTTGACTTTCAGAAGGGCTCAGGTCTTGTCAGCTTTCACTGCCATTAATATGTTCCCAATGTTAAGCATCCATTTTTTAAAATCTGGGATGTTTTTGTATTAAATGATTTTCTGTATAAAAATGTATTCGCTATTAACAGACACAAAGACAGATCATTTACAGACAAATCAAGCCAGGTCTTTGTATAAAATTAAAGCAATATACGAAGAAAAAACAGCTAGATAAATTAAGGCTTTAAATAATCGTGTAATGTCTTATGAAAATAAAAAGAAAAGCTGCAATTACATTTGGCTCAAGTTTTGCACAAGAGTTTAGGAAATTTCTCTTCAGTTTTCTCTCTCTCAAATTCCTACATTATGATTTAGTGCTGGAGGCCCGGTGGAAAACAGGCCTATGAGAGCTTTGAAACAGTTTATACTGGATATATTTTCGTGGCCTATGGAGCATTATAGGTCACAAGCTTTAAAGTCAAAAGAAAAGGTTGATTTTTTTTTTTCATTTTGTTTTTATCTTGAGACTTATTCAAGAGTTTGTGGTTAAAAACTATTCAACTTCTGATGTATACTTTATATAGCCGCTGTTCAGCGATACTTGCATTCCTGTGGTTTTTGAGCAGTTCTCTTTTACAAGTGAGATGGCTGACAGTATATGCAATGAAATGCAGTGTTTCAGTGAAGGAGCAACTGATCTTTTTGAAGGTGGCAGAGTTTAAACTTGTGCTTGATGTAACTTGACTGTTGATGCTTTGTGGATGGTTTCAAAGCTGTGGAAACTTGAAATCTTGTATTTTTCCACAGAACAACCACATCCTGGACAGAAGCAGTGCAAGGTTTCTCACACTGCTATGTCAATGCACCTCAGCCTGGTCCTGGAGAGACCACTTCTACAGATAAGAGTAGGGTAATCTCCATGCTTGTTTAGTCTTTACCCTCTCTGCTGAGATTGCCAATAAGGGTGTCAGTCATGGTGGTTTTTTGTGAAGAGGAGATGCTGCACAGAGATCAATAGCTCAGTTCACACGGGTCACCAAACAGGTGTTGACTATTCATGATTATTGGGTACTAGTGACTTTGGACAAATTTGAAATAAGTGAAAGGGCACTTATAATTAAATCTTCATGAAGCCACTGTCTAACTGGTTCAGGACTTAAAATTGCTTTTTGAAAAATAAGGATTTATTATGTAACTATTGAATTGTTTCATACAATGGAGAGGAAAGTGTCTTGTTCATTAATTTGCCACATCTAGAACAAATGTGCTAGTACCACCAGGAGCAAGCTGGCTTTTCATTTAGATAAGACAAGTATTTTGTGGAAGTGAACAAAAGAAGCCCAAATGGTGATTGAAGACTGACATTTCTACGAGGAGAGTTTAAGAACAAAGACAGTACTGTACTAACCAGTAGACTGCTGGGCAGTGAGAGCAAGCAACATATAACAAGAAAGAATGAAGATTAGAGGCAAATTCATCACAGCAGTTGCTGTGGCTTTGGGGGTCTGTAATGGTTAACGTTTTTGGCAAAAGACAACATAAACATAAGAAGGAAAGCTTGGGAGTTCTATAGGACTATTGTGATTTGAGATTAACTCAGCTTTTTCAGGGTTCTTAGTTTATCTTGTTTTTTAAATTAAATGATTAGACTGTCAGAAATAAATTGATGAAATTAACATTTCAGCACAAAGTTAACAAATTTTCATGACTTTCTCCCTCATTTTTTAATCAACTCAGATGTCTCAGACACCTCTCCCACCCCTCTAGTCATACGCTCCACTTTTTCTCCAAGGCTGTAATTTACTATAGGCCATACTTTATTAAACCTTGATTAGAAACTTTCTGAAAGATAGATCAGAAATCTCTCTCTTGTGGAGGTAGTCATCTTCACTTCAGTAATCCTAACCTGTTGTGTGGTGTTAACCAGCTGCCACTTCCTGGCTCCAGTGTGGCTTTATTACTGTGGCAGATGATTTCTCACACAATAGCTGACCAAGTGCTTTGAATCTTGATATGGGCATGAGAGAGGCACAATATAAATGTAAGTTCTCATACTTTATGCAGTTGTACCATATCAAGTGGTGATTATTAAATTTCATAAACTAAGTAGGGTAAGATCAAGTCAGAATTTGACTGTAATCCCAAGATAAAGAACAAGGTATGGCACAAAGTGGTATTGGTAATTCAGTAGATGGCATGCTTTCCTCAGGCAACACTGCATCAATGTCCCAAAGAGTATAAAGAAAAAAAATAATACTCCAAATTCAGTCTTCCAGAAGCATAAAATTGAAGTCGTACCCAGTTCTGGTAATTAAAAAATAAAAAAAGCAAACATTTTTCCCCATCTTCCTTGATAAAATCTGTTTTAGGTATTTATATTCTATATGTTCAAATTTCCCCTTGTAATTCATTTTCTATCAGTCTTTTTAGTGGTGTTCTGTGCTGTTTAAACAGGGCTGTTTATCACCCTAAAAGGTGGCTTACTTTTAGTGCCTAAGAAAGGAATTTCTAGGTAGCTAGTTAGTTTATAAATCTCTCTTGGTATCCATTTGAATTAAATGTAGGTAATTAACTTTTTTCATAGATGCACAGAAGATTTACAAGTCTAGCACATTAATGCTGAAGAGTTTTTTGATTGATTTGTCTTATATGAGCTGAAAGGAGAACTAGAATCCTTTTTATATTCATTATAAAAATCTTACAATGTGTTGTTTATTTTTTTATAAATTCAATTGCAAATTACAGTAGTTACAATCCACTCTGTTTTGTTACATTACAAATGTGGACACCTTTCTGCCCTCAATCTGATTCACTGGGTGCATATGATTAGTCTTCAGAAGTTCTCAAGAAGGAATGCTGTTCTTAGATTTTAGGCTTTTAAGGACCAGTAGAATTGTGAGACTGCTAATAACCTTCTCAACATTACCAATGTTCACAGATACCCCACCTTTGCTATTTGAAGTGTCTTCCTTAGAGAATGCATTTCAAATTGGAGGATACCCTTGGCATTACATCATCACACCTAATAATAAAAAGCACAAAGGAGTCTTCCATATTTGTTCTCTGAAAGACAATACTTTGGTAATGTATTTAAATGGCTTTTCGGGAATTAATAGGCATCTATTTTATTCACAGGGTGAATTGAGAAAAGCCCTGAAGCAAAACCAGTTTTCCCATTTTTCTGCTACTGCACCCTCTTACTCATCTGATTAACCCCTTGCTAGGGAATACTATACATTATTACCCCTATCAACTAGTAATACCAATTCTGAATTTGCCAGAAGAAAGAATGCTAAGTAATGGAAATATTCTCTTTCCACTGGTTTTGTTTCTGGTGTTTCCTCCCTTCTCATATACCCATAGCATTGCATTCTCTGTGTTCACAGTGGTGACAGGTTATTGTGCTTCCTGCTGGTCAGCCAGCCAAAAAGAATCTTTAAGGAAGCACTCAGAGTCTCAACAAATTGAAAAATAAATGGGTTTAGTATTTGTGTTCTGTTCCTCTACTTGTAATTTATCTGTAGACATGTGAGCTTTTTAAAAAAAATGTAGGGTGGCTTTGGTTTAAATCAAGTTGATTTAAATCACTGGTCAGGAAGCCTCGATTTATCATTGTTTTCTACAAAAAGTGCTGATGGATGGGTAGTCAGGTCTGTTGTCTCTCATCTCCATATCCTGCTGTTAACAAGGATGTTATCTCTGGAGACAACAAATTCTCCCTGTTCCTAAAGAAGGGTGTTTGTGCTCGAAAGCTTGCAAAGAACATTTTTTCCAACTATTTGGTTGGTGTAATAAAAGATATCACATCAAGTTGATTTAAATCACTGGTCAGGAAGCCTTGATTTATCATTGTTTTCTACAAAAAATGCTGATGGATGGGTAGTCAGGTCTGTTATCTCTCATCTCCGTATCCTGCTGTTAACAAGGATGTTATCTCTGGAGACAACAAACTCTCCCTATGCCTGAAGAAGGGTGTTTGTGCTCGAAAGCTTGCAAAGAACATTTTTCCAACTATTTGGTTGGTGTAATAAAAGATATCACATCTACCCAAAAAAACCTTATCTGCCTATGATCTCTGGAGATGCAAATCCACAGTTTGAGAACTGAAACTAAGCATCACAGAGATGCTTAAATGGGATCTTCTAGACCAGTGGTTTCCAACCTTTTTTGATCGCACACCCCTATCAGTAAAAAAATTTTGAGCATGCACCCCCAATATATGTATATTTATTTATAAATTATATACATGTACTACTGTACTAATATGTACATTATAAAACATACACAAAAATAGAAATTAAATCGTCATTGTTTTTACCTTGTAATGTGGCTGACGAAGAGCTCGTACTAGGAGTAGGAGAAGTGTCAGTTCTGCCATTTTCTTGTTGTTTGCTTGTGCTCACATTATTAGTATTATCTTCAATCTGCAGTTTCTTTGCAGGAATCTTTTTAAGCCACTTGTCCATTTTGTGAGGGTTAGTTTAGTTAAAACTAAATAATATAATCTAACCGGGCACATGTAAACTGCAGTACATTGCAATATACTGAAAGCGAATGAATGCTTCTTCCCTCAGGATACCTCACGTACCGTACGTGACACGTGACTGTCCGACATACGGACTGAGTGAGGGCGCCAGTGTTAATCTGTATATTAAATATTAGTAAAACTTAATTTCTTTCTTATTTTTTTAGATAAAAAAAAAATAAAAATACAAGTTCTAATATTTTCTTCGCACACCCCCTAGGGTGCGCGCACCCCACTTTGGAGACCACTGTTCTAGACTGAGCACTGAGTCCTATTGGGTAGAATGGTTTTCTTTAATCTTTACTAATCTATAGAGGAACCGCTGGGAACCCCATAAGATTGGGCCCCTAATATATGTCCCGTTGTGACCTATTTATAAAACTTCTAAAAAGTTACATGAGTATATTGTCTCAAATAGTATGTAATTAGAAGTTATAAACCCTTTTCCATATGATATCTTTGAGCTTTAACATATCTTAAATTAAAACTATCTTTATATAAGTTTATTTTTGTACAAAAAGCGTCTTAAGAAAGGAAGTAAAAACACAATTAAAATAAAAAAAGATTTAAATAAAAATCTGATTTTTTTTACTTAAAAAAAAATCGTTGATTTTTATCCACCCTGAAATGTTGTATTATATGACATGCATCAGCTCTTCATCTTAGCCTTCACTTTAGCTTGTCCACCGTATTCAGGCTAAAGTCACTTCTGATATATGGGCAAGCACTTGGCCTGCTAACTCATGATTCTTCATCCAGGAACTTTTTCATCAGTGTATGTACTCATTTCTTTAAACTCTTTAGCATCTTTAAACTAGTATTTCTGTCTTTATTTTCTTCAGACCATGCAGGTCTCTGTCTCATGGTGAAGTATAGGTATGTAGAAGGGGTTGGTGTTTTTGGTGGCCAGGACATCAGGCAACCCTTTCCCCCCGCATTTTTGGGAGGTGGCTTAACACCATTGAAAAATTAAATTATTGGGTTCAAATTATTTTAGTTTGTCCCATGGCTTATCCAAAATCTTGTAGGATTGCCTGATTTGGTGCTGAAATTATGAATTATCCCAGGCTAGCAGACCTAAATAAGCTTTTCTGCAGACATGTATCTCACATTTGTAATAAGACTTAGAACTAATGCAAAAGACAGGTCTGATCTCAAATCACACCTTATCTGTTTTGAATTGCTGAAGTATTTGCAGTTGTTAAGCTAGATCTTTCATTTTTAATGTATGGGCTTACAAAGATAGGGCCATGTCTAACCATGTTCTGGGACCCCACTGTTCCCTTGACACCAAACAGTATTACAGCCCAGTTCAGTGGGATTCCTTTAAGCCTTGAAGTTCCCTCAGGGTTTGCTTCTTCCCTTTATTTATTCCAGTTTCAGGGCTGCTATTCTCTTTGTACTGACAGGGTCTAGCTAGTGTTTGTAGCCACTCAGATGAAGTTGGGCAGGATACTTTCCAGTTTAATTCTTTGAGCATATCTAAATATTAAAGTTCTAAGCTTTCCCTTTTTGCTTCAGGCAAAAAATGGCATACAAGATATGAAATGCTGTTCACTAGAACCAGACTGGATCTATTTCCACCCAGATACTTCAGGTAGAATAATCCATGTGGGACCAAATTTGATTAAGTAAGTACACATATTACTTTTTTTCCCAAAGCTTATTTTTATTAACAAGAATACAAGGTAACCTTTAATTAGTAGTTTGTTGGAAGGTCTCTAAGAGTTAGGGATAATTATTGGGTCACAGTGTAGTGTCACTTTTAAACTAGGTATAATCAGAAAATATTTCTATGCCTTAACTAAAAGAAAGTAATGATTTTCATATAAAGTCTCTTCTGACATCCATCTTAATTGTCATAATAAATCTAGAGGTGCACTGATACATCAGTTCAATATTGGATCAACACCGATATAAAGAAAATTGACTAAATTGGAAATTGGCCTGATGTGGCCAGTAATTTGGCTGATAAATGGCCATGCCTGTACGCAGCCTCAATGTATCACGAAGGCAGCAAGGAGCAGAGCCCAGTAGCTTGGAGAGCTGCGTGCAGCTTGTAAGTCTGTTGCAGTAAAAGGGGAGGGAGGAGGGAAGCGGCATGGGCAACACCCCCTGTGGTGAGGGAGGAGTGGGGTTGGGGCTGGGGTAGGCGCTGCCCAGCTGGGGCGGGGTGGGCATGGGACGGAGCTGCGGCTCATCCGGGCGGCGGGGCTCCCACTGCTGCATGCGTGTCTCCGGATCTGGAAGAAAGCCAACATGGTCCCCATCTTTAAAAAGGGAAGAGGGAGGACCCGGGCAACTATAGCCCATTCGTCTTACTTCAATCCTGGGGAAACTCTTTGAGAAGTTTATCAAGGAGCACATCTGTGATGGGCCAGCATCAGGGATGATGCTCAAGGGCAACCAACACGGTTTCATTAGGGGCAGGTCTTGTCAGACCAACCTGATTGCCTTCTACGATCAGGTCACAAAAGCATTGGACACAGATGTCGTGGTGGATGTAGTCTTTCTGGACTTCAGCAAGGCCTTTGACATAGTCTCCCACCCCATTCTCATTAAAAAACTAGGCGACTGTGGCATTGATGCCTACACAGTCAGATGGATTGCAAATTGGCTGAAGGGTCGTACTCAGAGGGTAGTGGTGGACAGGTCATTTTTGACCTGGAGGGAAGTGAGCAGTGGAGTCCCCCAGGGCTCGGTCCTTGGGCCCGCACTGTTCAATTTCTTTGTTAGTGACTTGGTCAACAGGTCAAAAGCAGCCTGTTCAAATTCGCTGATGACACCAAGATTTGGGGTGAGGTGGGCACATTAGTAGGGAAGGATAGATTACAGCAGGACCTGGACAGGTTATAGGGGTGGGCTAACGGAAATAGGATGGGTTTCAATAGAGACAAGTGCAGGGTGCTGCACTTGGGCAGTAGGAACCAGCAGCACACTTATAAGCTGGGAAACTCCTTCCTTGAGAGCATGGTGGCAGAAAGAGATCTTGGAGTCATTACTGACTCCAAGATGAACATGGGCCGACAATGCGAGCACACAGTCAGTAGGGCTAACTGTACCTTGTCGTGCATCCACAGATGCATCACAAGCAGGGCCAAGGAGGTGATCCTCCCTCTCTACGTGACACTGGTCAGGCCACAGTTCGAGTACTGTGTCCAGTTCTGGGCCCCGCACTTCAGCAGGGATGTGGACAGCATTGAGAGGGTTCAAGGGAGGGCCACCTGCATGATCCGGGGACAGCAGGGCAGACCCTACGAAGAGAGGCTATGGGACCTTAACCTATTCGGCCTTCGCAGGAGAAGGCTTAGGGGGGACCTGGTGGCCATCTATAAACTCACTAGGGGGGACCAGCAGAGTTTGGGAGAGACCTTGTTTCCCCGAGCGCCCCCCGGGGTAACAAGGAATAATGAATGACCATAGGTTGTTAGAGAGTAGGTTTAGACTAGACAGCCGAAGGCACTACTTCACAGTCAGGGCGGCTAGGATCTGGAATCAACTTCCAGGGGATGTGGTGCTGGCTCCTACCCTGGGGGTCTTTAAGAGGAGGCTTGACATCTACCTGGCTGGGGTCATTTGAGCCCGGTTTTCTCTCCTGCCCAGGGCAGGGGGTCGGACTAGAAGATCTACAAGATCCATTCCGACCCTACTTCTATGAATCTATGATCTGCGTGAAGCGGGCTGCAGCTGGGGCCAGGGGCCGCGCTGCCGGCACCTGCACCAAGTGCAGCACAGCACAGCCCCAGACCACAGCTGCAGCCTGCCTGGCCCAGCCCACCCTGTGCAGATCGGGGACACCCCCCCGTCCCAGGTGAGTGGCAGGAGCAGTGGTGGGAGCTGCCAGACAAGCAGCTCCCAGACCAGCAGCGTGCAATGGCGGGGCTGCTGCCCCCCCTCCCCATGCCCCTCAAATGAGCCACAGCTCCGTCCTGCACCCGCCTTGCCCCAGCTGGGCAGCGCCTGCCCCAGCCCCATTCCTCCCTCAGTGCAGGGGCCGTTGATCTGCTCCCTCCACGCCTCTTCCTTTCCCCCTCCCCTTTCACCACAATAGATTTACCAGCTGCACATAGCTATTTAGAAATCGGATCAGTATTGGCCGATATGCCTCCTTAAAAGTCAGCTTTCGGTATTGGCCCCCAAAATCTCTATCAGTGTACCTCTAAATAAATCAGTTTCAAAAGCTGACACTCTCAAGTTCATCATAAACTTTTGAGACCCTCACTCTTTTTTTTGGATGTATAAGCTTTGATCAGCTAACGTTGCATATTTTTAAATTCTTACAGGCAGATTTAATCTGTTAAAATAAAATTCTATTTGATCTGGTCTTCATAACATTGGTTTTCATAATTCAAGTCCTAGCCAGCCATTAATTTAGTGATTTCTCCTCTTTCCCCCAAATGAAAATTAGTTGATTTGAATTTTATTTCAAATTTTGCACGTTCTTTGGAATTCTGCCAAAAGTATACCTTTAAGACTAATGAGAAAGTAAACATAGAGGGAGTCAAGAAGCCAGTTAGGCATACTATTCAAATACATTTTGAAAAAAAACAGAAGGGGGCTGACTCTTTAAATTCTGGCTTATTTTTAAGATGGTACAGGAAGGAGCCCAGTACATCTACTTGTCTTTTTAATTTACCTTCCTAAGCCATCTGTTAAATCTTATGCAATGTGAGATTTCAGCTGTGGAATATGCCAAATTTCATTTCTATATTAAATGAGTACATAGTCAAATGACTTGGCAGTGAAAACACCATGATAACTTTCTTCTTATTGATTGCTAACCCCATGATTAAACCTCATTCCAGTCAGCTAGGTTGGTTTTATGATCTGAGTGCCAAAGGCTAGAGTTATAAAATAATAGGTTTGGAAAACAGAAGGCAGGAGAGAGGCCAATGTAACACTTTTCTTTTAACAATTAAAAGTGTTGTTATGTAACCAAACATACCAACAACAATAATTTCATCACACACACACACACGCACGCACGCACGCACGCACGCCTGTGCAAAATGTCTAGTATTCACTTGGGATTCAGCCGATTCAGGGGACAGTGATTCAATTCAGTGAGATTTGGCCGAATCTGATTCAGAGATTTGAATCCTGCCAAGCGAGGGGGCGATCCCCACTGCCACGAGCCTCCAGAAGCCCCAGCGGCCACTGCAGCAGCCAGTGAGGGCAGGGCTTTTTTTTTTTTTTAAAGAGCTGGGATGCCAGGGCCAGGCAGGGCAGCCATTGACGGGCCCGGGAGAGCGGGCAGGGGTTGAGGGGCGCTCAGGGGGGCTGGGGGAGCAGGCAGGGGATGGGGCCTGGCGAGAGTCCCCTCCATGGTCCTCTTCTCCAGTCCCCACCCCCTTGCCCCCTACTTACCAGCACAGAGTCCAGGTCCAGCTACCTGTGGCAGCGAGCAGGGACTGCCTGAATTGCCGAATCTTCTCTGAATCATTTTCTGAATTGATTCAGTCGTTTTTATTGGTCTCCTGATTTGATTCAGATTCAGAGATTTGGATGCCTAACTGAGCTGAATCTCCTCCAAATCGAATCAGCACCCGAAACTTTACACAGCCCTAGAGAGAGAGAGAGAGAGAGAGAGAGAGAGAGAGAGAGAGAG